CAGGTAAGCTTCTTTCTTCGTATCAAATATACAATATAAGGCTGTGAAGCAGTTTACAATTGATCAATAAGCATTCATTTCCAAACAGATACAGGGAACTTAACAGATAACTAAAACAGATTAACTCGATTCGAAGCAACATGATAGAAATCAAATAAACTTAATTACCTTATTAACGTACAAATACTTTTCTAAACAGTGAATGAAGTGTTCCGGAGAGGATGTAAAAGAAGAGCTATATCGCGAGCAGTATCCCATTGAAAGATGATCCAATCTCTCCAAGAAATCATCAACAGGGAGCGGAACAGAGGAATGCGAAACTAGGGAATCATCCTCAGCTGCTATATAAAGAGCAGCTTTTCCTAAATCAACCCCTCTATTTATGCAAATACTAGTTTCTCTCTCAATATTTGATAATTTTCGAACTTGTGAGCAGAATCCTTCTCTCGCTATCTGTTAATGATCACACATTCATATAAAACTAAGTAAATCAAACAAGATATGAATCTAATGGAAAATTGATCGAAAACAAAAATACATACACGGGCATGGGTAGTATTGACACCAGACGCATCGAGAGCATCATGAAGAACAAATTTGAGATCATTTTTCGAGGATCCGGGGCCGAGTCCAGGAGTAAATTGAGAATTGCTGCAATATATCGTGAAGCCAGCAAGGGAGGAGGTGCTAGTGTTGGAAGATGAGAGATTGAAGAATCTTCCAGAAGGATAGACATAGGCTCCACAAAGCCATTGACAAGACAAACTACTCATAGCTTCCCACTTTCTCTGTTAGGAAGAAATTCTTTAGAAATTGAATGAATTTTGCATATCCTCTTTTTAGTTAGAAAAACAAAATGATAGATATCCAGGTAGGAGAAATATCTGCTATATGGCGGCCCTCATGCTTTTCTCGTTTAACATTATAAACAAATTTATTAAAAAATATTTTATTTAGACAATGAATTTAGCCCTATTTCAATTAAACAATTTGTAAAAATTTCATTCTTAGAGAAATGTCCACAATTAAAAGGTATGACATATTTTATGTTTGAACTTGCCTACTACAAATGAAAACACACATTATATTATTTAAGAGGGTAACAAAAATACTCAATGAAGAGTTAAATTGTTCAATCGAAAATGGCGCTTGGTTACAAATTTAAGACTATGTATTAAGCACTCTACTTTTTTCAGAGGCTAGTGTTTTTTTCTGAAATAAAAAGTTGGGGTTAGGATTATGTTGGTCTTAATATTATTATATGTATAGCTATGAATACAAAAGTCCTCCATGAAAGATTATCAGACTCGTATTTTTCATTGAGGTATTCACTAGATTTTTTTTCTCCATTTCTGAGAGCTGGGAAAGGTAAATGCTAGTTATGTTCTTTCTTCCCTGCCATCAACTAACCAAAGGAAAATAAGCAAACAATAAGACACAGAAATGGAAATAGTAACAAAATAGAGAAAAAGAAGAAGTTATCAATCATCATCAATGCCAGTAGCGGTGGATTACTAAGGCTCTTCTGGGCTAAGCCTCCGTTGCCAAACAGCCTTGAAAGGGACTCTGTTGAAAATTCTAGTATAAGTTAAGGACTAAACTATATACACAAGAACCTTTCTAACTGCCAATTTGTCAACATGCACATTTTGTTTTACCATAAGTTAACACAAGGCGGCCAAGTTAACTATACAACTATCCAAACAAAGGAGAAGATCAACCAACTGATGGTGCTGGAGAAGCAATCTTGGGGACACGAGGTGGAGGCGGCTTCTTGAAGTACTTTTCATTGAAACTCTCAGCCTTATCAGGATATTTTGATCTGACAAAGTTCTCCAGACATTTCCGGGTGGAGAAATCTTGCTTGGCACCATCAGTAGAGACGACGTAGAAGCATCTAGTATCCTGGAAGTTTGTATGTTTGCTCACCTGTTTTACACAGATTAAATCTTAGGTCATAGAAACTTGAAACTTAAAAGTCATAAAATGCTCAAAGTAACTTTGACACATGTAAGATAAAACCGCAACTAAGATCATGCTAGCAACAAGATTAAAAATAAAGTTCCCATAGATGCAGGAGATAATGTGATTAAACACTTCCACTGAAATTTCAATGGAATACACTGTGCATTAGAAGCAAATGACATAACAGGGGAGCACTGGGCAAGTAGGGACCAATGCATTTGACCTGGAGAGTAAAAGGAAGAAGCAAAAGAAGTAACCATCCAAATCTGAACACAATGACAACAATCATTTTCTTAGCGAATGAGACCTGTCCTCCGGAAAAAAAGATTCGCACAGGGAGGAGGAACTTGGACAAGACTAGATCCACAAAGAACATAATGTGTACTGTGGGCACACACACATGCAATAGTTCTTAGAAAAGAATACAACAGAATAATAACCTAAAATGCAAAATATGCTCATTGACTTTGCATATGAGACCTAACGGTTTGAAGTTCCTAAATTATGATGATTTTTTTTTCACCGATTTGGATGGGAAAACTCAGAAGATATCTAACAAACCACCTGTAGCTCAGTGGATGGAGCGAGCGTCTGTTTCCTAAGCAGAAGGCATAGATTCGACCCCTACCTGTGATACACCTTATTATTTTTATGCTCAAGATGTAGGAAGGACTCAGAGAACAACACTCTTATCTTTTTTTGCATAGTGAAATCAGTCATCACCTGTGCAAGCTTTTTCTAAACATGAAAGGAATCAAACAGACAATGCCAAGATCAACTGGGGAGCTGTTGGAATAGTCTGGGTAGCATCATGTCAAAGAAGAAGACATGGAAAATAGTTCCTGCTTGCATACGGTGTACCATATGGAAGGAAAGAAATTCAAAATGTATTGAGGACAACTACAGTTCTTTTCAGAAGATTAAAATGTTATGCTGCTTCTTTTTCTTTTTATGGGTTTGTACGTACAGCATCTAGCACTGCCTTTGTACTAATGATATATTGACAAAAATCATTGTCTTCCTCAATAACTCGGAAGATATCTATGTGATAAGTTAGAAATTTCGGTTTTCGTGTAGGACCTACTTGCAACTCCCACCAACCCCAAAATTATAAAAAGTACCACATCCATTTCAAGAGGAAAGAATTTAGGTGAAAATGTTAGAACTTAGAATTAGGTGAGAACTGTGAAAGACAAAAAAGTTGGATGAAAACATGAGAAAGTGGGTTCCAATGTATTTTTTGCTAGTGTTATCTGTTGATTTATATTTATGAGAGTGGGCATTACTTTGAGAACGACTATAGAAAAAGGAAGGTGGACATTCACTTGAAGACTAAATAAAACAAGTTCAGCATCCAAGTCTGTCTTTTCTACATCCCCTAAATTGTTTGTGTTACTAGTTCTCTGAACATAGCTTTTTATGAACTACTTGGTGCCTTCCACACTCTGACTGTTACTGCTTTGACGGCTAAAAGTTGTATAGATTGATGAAATGATTTAATTCCGTGAATTTGAATCCTTGAAGAGAAGTTCTCCAATAATAGAAGTGGGCAGACTCAAATTGGATAAGTAGAACATAACTGAATAACAAAAGTTACTCAAGCAAGTACTGACTAACCAAAAGCTCAAGTCTAATGGCAACCAGGAAAAAACTTAATTCTAAAGGCATAGCTAACACAAGGTTTTCAGTCTCTTCAGACCAATTGGTACAACTTCCAGCACAGAAAGCAGCAAATTCTGCAAACATGAGCAAATATACTGACGTTGCATTATTCACTTGGCTGAAACATTCTATCATGTCACAAATGCTCATACGATCAATTGGAATATGATGAGCTGACAACCACTGGTATCAATACTAATGAACAACTTGAAGAAAGCTGTACAGAAAACAATTATATCATATGCTCACACAATCCCTTTCCTGACATATTTGAGTCCACACTTTGCTGTACAATTAAAGAACTTTAACAAGTGAAGAAAATTGCTCAAAACCTTGGTACTAACAATCTGAGTAGAATATGGTCAAGAGTAAGAAAATATCTTGAAGGCACTATAAAATGCTGTAAAAATTTTTTTATAAAAAGTGTCACTTACCGTAATATAATCAAGACCGGCTCCCATCTTGACAGCTTTATCCGGGTGGTAATTGAGAACCGTGTCAATAATATATGACTGGTCATCAGCAGATAAGGGGTCACCATCATTGATCCTTCATAAAGAAAATATAACCAGAAAATGTTATCGCCGTTGGGAGAAAAAAGACCATCTAACCAGAACAGAGATGAGCGGAAGGAAAAGGAGTACTACTAGTTTTTCATTATTGATTGGCAGGGCAAATAATGGACACCATCTTTTGTGAAAACTTGAATATGTGCCTAGTCTATTTTTAATGCTACATCTTTTTCGGCATTAACAAAAGCTCCATACAAGAGGTCTAATTTCTATCTGATTTGCCCCACTTTTGGATGGAAAGGAAATTGATCTTTTCTCTTTATTCATGACTTTCACCTTTCCTATCTCACTAGATGACTATAACTAATCCCCTTTCGAATGACCTTTTGCTCATACCACCACCTCTCTTTTCCGTACTCTCTTCCTATCCAAAACATCTGTCAACCTCTTTTTTTCTGTAATCCCAAAACTTGACCCTAACGAGGGAAGCTGTGATCCCTTGTTTTTCACCAACACTAAGGAGACTAACCCAGAAAATATAATGCAGGCAAAACATTTGCAGACAGAAAAGAATTGTTCAAATACTTCAGTCTGTCACAAATCTATAGATGCTGAGTACTTTCTTTGTTTTTTTTGTGTTTTTTTGGGTTAAGAGGAGTAAGTGCTGAGTACTTAATATGCAGACCACAAACAAATTATAACTCATGTAGGAGACAGTTTTCAGCAGAAAGAATTAAGCAGGAAACAAGACTCAATTTCTCTGCTGGAATTAATTTTTTCTTCATGTAGCCGTATCACCAAATATGTATACAGTAAATTCAGTGATGCATACTACTTACCCTGTCCCATGCATTATCTTTCTGACTTTCAGCATGATAGGATCAACATCTGAAAGTATTTCTTGTTCCTCTGCTGTGAAAAGATCAATCTTTTGCCTTGTTGCTGTAAAATGTACACCTCTATTGGAGTCATCAGCTGATCTTGCAGGCCGGTTGTTCTTCCACTCTCCACCACTAGCAGAGCCCCAACCTCGCGAATTTTCCTTAAAATCTCCTTTTGCATTACGTCTGCGCTGACCCCATTGAGGTTGCTTATCGCTCTCTTCAACGCCAACCTTCTGAGAGTCCCAACCACCAACGGTTGAAGAATTCCAACCACCATTTTTTGTAGAGTCGTCATGTGTTGATTCATTTAACTGTCCATCTCTACTTACACTAGAGCTCCAATCATTAACTGACTGGTCAAGCCTTTTATTGCCTTCAGCAGTCGCTGAACCTAACCCATCGCCATTAGGAGCTTTTCCCCAAGACGACTCAGAATTTGACTGTTTAGGCCCATCACAAGAACCAGCATCTTTTTCCACCTTCTTCCCCCATGAGGACCAAGATCCTGACTGCTCTCCACTCCCAGACTGGTGCGTGTTACTCTCAGGTTCATCAACCTTTTTCCCCCAAGAAGACCCACCATCTTTTTCCACCTTTTTCCCCCATGAGGACAAAGATCCTGACTGCTCTACTTTCCCAGATAGTTGAGGGTATTCTCAGTTTCAATTTTTTTTCCCCAAGAACCACCATCTTTATCCACCTTTTTCCCCCACGAACTAGAGTCTTTATCCACCTTTTTCCCCCAAGAAGAACCACCATCTGTTTCCACTTTTTTTCCCCATGAGGATAAAGATCCTGACTCCTCTCCCTTCCCAGATTGGTGACTCTCAATCTTTTTACCCCAAGACCCACCATCTTTTTCCACCTTCCCCCATGAGGATAAAGAACCTGACTGCTCTCCATTCCCAGACTGGTGCAGGCTTTTCTCAGGTTCATCAACCTTTTTCCCCCAAGAAGACCCACCATCTTTTTCCACCTGTTTCCCCCATGAGGACCGAGATCCTGACTGCTCTTCTTTCCCAGATAGTTGAGGGCTATTCTCAGTTTCCACCTTTTTCCCCCAAGAACCACCATCTTTATCCACCTTTTTCCCCCAAGAAGAACCACCATCTTTATCCACCTTTTTCCCCCAAGAAGAACCACCATCTGTTTCCGCCTTTTTCCCCCAAGAAGAACCACCATCTGTTTCCGCCTTTTTCCCCCAAGAAGAACCACCATCTGTTTCCGCCTTTTTCCCCCAAGAAGAACCACCATCTGTTTCCCCCTTTTTCCCCAAGAAGAACCACCATCTGTTTCCCCCTTTTTCCCCCAAGAAGAACCACCATCTGTTTCCCCTTTTTCGCCCAGGAGGATAAAGATCCTGACTCCTCTTCCTTCCCAGATTGGTGAGTCTCAACCTTTTTACCCCAAGAACCACCGTCTTTTTCCATATTTTTACCCCAGGAGGACAAAGATCCTGACTGCACCTCGTTCCCAGATTGGCAAAGGCTATTCCCAGCGTCATCAACCTTTTGCCCCCAAGAAGAACCACCATCTCTTTCCGATTTTTTTCCCCATGCTGACGATGATTCTGACTGCTCTGTAACCCCAGATTGCTGAGGATTACTTTCATCAACCTTTTTACCCCAAGCAGACCAGGAATCTGACTGATTGACACCCTTTTCAGCGCCATTTTGGGTTTTGCCAGCAATGTCCCAGCTACCACCAGATTTGACACTCTCAGATGAGGCCTTCTCCCATGCAGAGCCACTTGGCTTTCCTTCATCTAAGTTTTCATTATAATCAAATTCAGCTCTATCTTCAAAAGTGGGCATTTCAGAACCAGAGTCCCGATTGGGAGACAAGTATAATCCCATATCTTCATCTTCCTCTAGTTCATCAACTTCTGCACCAAGACAACTGGTACCTTCAACTTCTTGAGCAGAGGTGCTCCTCACCAAGTGTAGGAAGCTATAAACATCACGTGTATCTGGTATATTCCATTCAACCTTGCACAGAAAAGACTTTCACATGTTAGTTTCAGTCTAGACCCTTAACCAAGAAAATATGCAACTACGACGAATAAATATTCAGTTGCTTATCAGACAAAATAACCAAAGTGCACTAGACCATTAAAGTAGGAAGGATGTGATAGAAGCAAACACACATGCTAGTTGTAGCTGGTTCAAAGTTCAACTTAATTGTAAAGGTCAAGAAAGTCATTTACGATAACTACAGAACTTCCAACCAAGTAAAATGTTGTCAACCTGCTTGAAACACAAATTTGCGTCTAACGGCCATAGAGGATCCAGCAATTATAACTTCAATTTCAACATAATTGCTCATGGTCTACCAAAAAAGTGCAATGACCTTGCTCATAATTTTACAGTATTTTGGTTAATTTTTCCGGATTTTAACATAGTATTTCTTTCCCAATTTAATCATAGTATTTCACTTTTAAAATTACATCATAATCTGTATAGAAGAGTCAACTAATTCAATGAAGATTACATGTTTCATTAAATATCTTATTCCACAAATTGTCTAGACATGAGAAACTAAGCTTCTTATGCAGCGTTTGCATGCATGACACACTTTTTTGCATTTGTACATGCATACGATACACTTGGTCATTATATTTTTGTTGATCATTGAAGTGTCTCTTTTACTTTGGGTATAAGACAGAATGTGTTTGCCTCCACTTCAAGGAGACAAGAAGCAACTTTCAGGTCTACTGCAATATACTGCCGCAGGAAGCAAACTTAGCCAATGACAGAGATTAGATAACAGTCTCAGAACCCTCCAGGTGTTTGAGGCACATTAATCCCTATTTTTTAAAATTTAAAAAAATAAAAACAAGAAAAATGCATCCAAGTTTCCAGGTCCTGAGGAAAGTTGATTCAAACAGTTGTCCAACTTTTTCCATTTTACTCGTGTTTATACCTTAATAAACCACCTTTGCATGAAATAGGAAAATCATATTCCTCAACTAATCTACTGCTCCACGCATTTCTTTTGCACACATTACATGGTTGTTTATGTCTTCGTTTCCTTAAGGTTACATAGTTTGTCACATATTATTTTTATAGAAGTGTTTCAAGATGTGAATCTTCTAACATTATATAAACCTAAGATCTCAATATCTAGAAAATCAGATTTATTTCTTTGGCATGAAGTTTAAAGAAATATAGACCTTTTTAAAAGTCAACAAATTGCTATCATGCATGTATGGATAAACGGGCACAGGTTACACTTGTGATACATAATACATTGGTAATTTTGAATTTTAATTTATACAGTCACATGAACACATTTAAACAAGCCAATCATTAAAAGGAAGGTCAACAGAACACTTTTGTGCATCCTTTGATCACAATTTTGGTTCTCACAGTGTATTATCTCAAAAGGACCATAGTAGAGGGCTGTAAACATCAAAGCATAATTTAATTATCCTAAAAGAAAAGACATAAATGTTGAACTAATCTCTAGCTAGTTACTCTCTCCATTACATTTGTGCTAGTTTGACCGGCTCAGGAGTACATGTATTGAAACTAGTAAAATTGGGTCCCTCACGACTTTAAAAGTTACAATTTAGAAGTGGGCACCATTTTGGGACTGATAGAAAAGGAAAATAGGCCATATTTGGGATTGAAGGAAACAGGAAGAGCTATTACTGTAGAAGTGGAAAACAGGTGCTCCAAAACATAACATGCAAACACAATAGAGCAATCATGACAGAGAAATGACGTCACACAACTACAAAATTATTTTGAGCATGCAATGATTTGTAATTTGATTGAACTCTGTTTGGCCAATTAATGAATGAACGAGACATAAATAGAGATTGTTGTATGTGAAAAGCAGTTATCAGCCAGTGGCATGACACAATCAAATCAAAAATCAATACCGCACTCCAATACCAACTAAATATATTTTTTATTTTAAAGACAATACCAAGTAAATATTAAAAGGTGTTAAAGCAAAACACATACATTTCTTGTGTTCAAGAGGACTTCAAATCGAGATCCCGTACCAACTGCCACATGCTTTCCCCAGGAGCAAGAAGCCACAATGCTTGACAAAGAATCAACATGGCACTTTTCAGCAGCCCTCTCAAAGCATTTTCTTGGGGTCTAAGAAAGATATAAAAAAAAAAAAAAAAATAGGACTCTGATTAAAAAGATAGCTCACCGGAGGAGTTGTCAAAATGAAGTGTTGTACAGAACAGAAGAAAACTTATGTGGCTTACAAATAGTGTTGCTTCTGTAAATGGTATCTGCACATTTAATGATCGAGATAATGCTTTTATTCCACCAGCATTGAAACCAACCAGATTTCCTGCGCATGTCATGCTATTAGCCAATAGAACTAGGTGGTCTTTGAGAACACCCTTTGTGACCATTGTAACTGACGTTGATAGGCGCTGCAAAAGAAACCATATTGTAAGTACTTTGAGATTACGAATTTAAAGGAACTCCTTTGGGTAATATTTCTTGCTTTGCACATATAAGGTTGTCAAGTACACACTAGGTAGAAAAAGTTGGTCATCAAGATGATTAAGGAAAAGAATGCAGCTGAATCAATCACCATAGTAATCTCAGGAAGGTCCACAGATATATGGATAGATCAGATTTACAATTACTATTAGAAATCTTATGCCTCATGGAAAGATGTCGTTCAACCTCCAAGTTTCAGCAAGTGGCTTTACAGATAGGTTCAGTTTTCAAGAGAGGAGCTGCTGAGAAAGCCGGGATGTTTGTTCATGACAATGTTTCAGGGTGTGTCCCACAGAGCATTACCACGCAAAAGAAAGAAAGTCAAGGCATTTAATGGTACCTTAACAGCTTGCTCAAAGGCACAAGAAATTCCAATCAGTTCTTGGACTTGCTTTATTGCATATGGGATGGAACGCGTAGTGTCTATCAGATGGATGACAGGAAGACAGGAATCCATGAGAATCCTCCAAGCATCTCCCCTTTGCTTAACAGCTTCTTTCTCAAGAACAATATCCAGAGCTAATTCACCTCTTTGACTCTTGGAAGGGCTCCTAATCCAAGACATTGTGTCAGGAGAAATCCACGCTATATTTGCACTTGAAACCCTTGGATCACCTGTACATTACGGGTGTACTATATTAGAATCAAGTATTCATTTCCAAGAAAAAGTGTAGTATAACGTTCTCACAATTCTTCGTAAACTCCAGTTGTCCCAGGAAGCCATAACAGAAAATACAAATTTGTGCATTGTACTTGAATGTATATACTTTGACACCCTAAGATGACACCAACAAGAATACAGAATCTCTTCAAAACGTTTTACCTTATTTATGACAAAACAACCATCAACTTTTTGACCTTGGCAAGGACAGACAAAATGGGAAGCTTATTAGCGTAATCTTAATTCTCAGAGAGTACTAACTGTTAATAACACTTGTTAGTAGTTCTTAACTACCATATTTTCTGCTTCTCCAACTTGGGTTGTTAACATTCAAAAGAGAAACCTTGAAAATCAATAACATTTACCTTCTTTTCATGATACAGAAGCCATCCAATTTTCATTTTAACTGATAAACCAGCTTCTAGACCTTTCAAGTTTCAGCACTCAATAGAAATAGATTTGGAACGTAAGTTCAGATCAAGGACAAACAAAATGGGAGGCTCATAAGTGTAATCTTCTTTCTCAGAATGTATGAACAGTGGGAATTAATTGGATGATGCCAAGGTCAAACAATGGAACTACTGCAAAGCCGGAGCTTTAAAGGGATAGGAAAGGCAAGGCTGAAAACATGGAACTCAATTAATCCAGCACTCTGGTGGGTCATCTAGAAGGAAAAGAATGCAAGAAATATTTAGAGCAACTGAATCTGTAATTAGCATTAAGTACAGCTGTATTTCTTTACTGTTTTTTGGGTACAACATGGCTGTTGCAAATGAAATAGAGGTCATGATAGAGTTTTTAGTAGTTCCAGCATTACTTCTCCTTTCTTCAACCTCTCTGTGTCTTCTGCAAACTCACAAACCCAACTAAGCACTGTAACATCCCTCGAACACTTGGCTCTTTTTCACACCAACACCATTTTCCAATGTTTCGCATGCTAAAGTAGCATGACAGAGCTTCTGCTTTAGCATGCGTTTGGGACATCAACTACGCTCTTGAGACGTGGAAATTTTAGAGGTTCCTTCCAAAACAAAACATCAAAAACACAGAGTCCTAGCCACTTCTCCCATAAGAGTGCTCTTTCAAGCCAAATTATTGTAAATTTGATACAGCATAATCAAATAACGTGACTCAATAAAAGAAAGGGAGCTCCTTCAGGTCATTATTCAGTTATCTGAGTCATGGTTAACACCATCCTTATGATACCAAATCAAACCACAAAGCAGGCCAATTATCACTCCAAAATCTAGAGACCTAACCAGAGAACTTTCAGCGAAGCTGTGTTTATCAAACAGCAATGAAAGATAGGAGACACTTAGAAGAGGGACATGCTCAATTAACTACAAGCTCAAAGTAGAAATTCGACATATACTATCAACCTCCTCCTTTGTCTATCTACCACAATCCCAATTTAAGGAGAAATTTAACAGTACAGTAGATGTAAAATCTGAGAAGGATTTAACTCGAAATGACCGCAAGCACACTCTTAATATTGTAACCGTAAAAATGACCACAAATACAGAGGAACAAAACTACCTTTGATAACTGTATCCAACAATATTGGACATATCATATCAGCAAGAATATGAGAAACCCTCTCCAAGTGATCATCACTCGCATCTGGCCAAGAGAACCTCAAACATGGTGCATTCAAACACTTACTTCCAGAATTGTGGCAAAACGAACAAAATTCACTGCATAAAATAAAAATTCACAATGATGTAAATGTGCAATAAGATTTATTTTCCACAGAAAATAATAATTAGGCATCCTTGGGATGTGGTTCATACAGATGGTACAAACTAACATGCAAGGGATACGAGATTGATGTCAATTTATCTTTAAATGGTTCATTCAATGAAAGAATCACCTTTTTAGTCAAAAGTATAGGCGATAAGCATGAGATCTAGAGAACCTCTAGTTTTAGAGAATCGCTAATTTGCCGAATAAATTAGAGGCAAAGTAATATTGAAATGACTTGAACTACAATGACCTAAAAGAGCAAAATGGTTTCAGAGGATTCATTTAGCCATATGCTAACATTATTTGGGCTCGAGTTTAGTTATTGATTGATACTAACACATCAAAGATAAATCGTCTTCTAGGACATGTAAATACATGAATTTAGTCCCCAAGTCCACGGATAAAAAGCCACCATCTACCTAACATGTAGAAATAGATATGAAATGAAATAGATCAGAAGAGAGCAGACTGCATATAAAGATTCATCTAGCCGAAGCTGACAAGTTTCGGAATGAGGCACAGTTGATTGCTTGACATAGGTGTGGACTACTACACCTTTAAAATATTTTTTGATAAAGTAATAAAATGTTAATAATAAATGGGCAAGAAGAGACCATATATTAGTATAGGGAAAGGTAGAAAAACTACAAAAAGAGGTGGTTTTCTACAAACAACACCCAATCTTCATACACAAACAACACCCATATATCGTGGAGATCCTGCAGTATGCTATATGTATGGAGCAAGTCAATCAAATTTTAAAGCTGTCACCTTCCAATCTTGTAGATACCTATTAAAGCTACTTCTCCACTTTGACACCTTAAGGTTTGATCATTGATGTGCTGTCATATCATTTTGGCTTGAAATTTTGTATAGGTATGGGAATGTATTTCTAAAGGTATTGTACCTGCATCACCTATGTCCCAGAATTTTACTCTCCTCCCATCCCCTACCTATTTTTGTTAAGGCAAGTACAAGCAGTATACCAAAAGAAGAGAACCTACATCAAAATATGGTTCTCAACAAAAGAAATATGGTTCTCAACAAAAGAAGAAATCCAATCCTCTATACAAATAGGGACCTCGTAAAAACACCAAAAAGCAACTAGAGACGAAACACTACTTTGCATTTTTACAAAATCTTGTTCGAGCCCTTCAAAAGCCCTCCTATTATGCACTTTCCAAATGACCCACATGATTGCTAAAGGGGCAACTCTCCATGCCCTTGGGATTCTCTTTCCCGTCCTATGAGACCAACTTTGCAATGCCTCCTTCACTATGTCTGGCATCACCCATTGCATCCCAAACATCTTGAGAGCCACCCTCCATAACCAATTAGCCACCTTGAAGTGCAACAGAGATGGTCTGCATTTTCACCTGCACTTTTGCACATAAAGCACCAACTAACGTAGTTGATCCTCCTCATCCTAAAATTTTCCGTTGTTAAGATTGCACCCCTTGCCACCAACCAAATAAAGATACACACCTTCCTCGGAGCTCTAGGAATCCAAATGGAGTCGGGAGGGAAGTAAATTCCTCTCGTACTACGAGCCTCTTATAATAAGAGTTAACATTGAATAATCCATCTCCACTCTCCCCCATCTCCATACATCCGAAGAGTTGTTCAGTGTAACTAACCCATACAATAACTCAACCAAATTGTGAAATTCTTATCTCCCAACCTTGAAGATTCCTTCTGAAACTTAAGTCCCAAGTCCCGGTGAATAACCTCCTCGTGAGACTAGCAAATTGGTTGGACTGTTAACTCTTTGGACGGACACACAATAAAAATTAGGGAAGACTTCCCTCAACTCGTTCTCCCCACACCCAAAAACTAATCCAATCCCATAAAACACAAATTGCTTCTAAAATCTTCCCATCCCTTTGATATATTCCTCCATAATACAAACCCAAAAAGATAATGACAACTTTAGTCCTCCATTCCCCTTCTAAAACTCCATATTTTTCCTCTATCACCTCTCTCCAAAGAGTACGTACCTTGGACCCAAATCTCCAAAACCACTTTCCTGATAAAGCCTTATTGAAGACTCTTGGATCTTTAACCCCAAGACCACCCCAACGCTTCGAAATCATAACAGTCTCCAAAGCACCTACTGAAACTCCCCCACCCCTAGTGGAATCTCATAGAAAGTTTCTTTGGAGTCTCCAATTTTATTGTAACAATGGCTGCAGACAGAAACAGATACAAGGAATATGTGGGTATGCTAGAAAGAATACTTTTAATTAACACTTTCTTTCCTCTTCTGGACAAATATCTTTTTTTGCCACCCCGCTAGCCTCTTCTCTAAATTGATAAGAGTCATATCCAGGTAAGTAGGATGACTTGAAAAAAAGGTGCATGCCATGTTTACAGTTTCACAGATGTGGAATCTGTAGTGCTAACACAAATAAAGAGCTTCTAAGATTTCCTCCTCTAGAGATGCATACACACACAACAATATTTACATACTCTCATTAAAATTAAACTGTCTACTTAACCATATGGTGCATTCAGAATCTGGTGGTTGTGATGCTAAATTAACTTAAAATTTTGAACATACTGATTGATGAAATAGCAAGTTAAGTGATATATCAAAGCAATAAGTGAAAGATAGTGTTTCACCTCACTGACAAAACTATTCTCTTGAAAAGATTGCCAATTTTCTTTTTCTTCTGGAATGAACTGATATTTTCTTGGCATCTTTCATGAACCTCAAGAACACTGATTCCCAAATTTTCCAGCTGCCCCTGTCAACCCAAGCAGAAGTATCAATGACACAATACAACAACAACTACCCAGTATCAGTGACACAAAAGTTCACAAAAAATTACTCCAAAGCTTATAAGTTTGAAAAATAGGTAAAACCTGGTTGAGACGAATATGACCAATGAGGCCTGTCCCTGTTTCAGAATTCTCATAACCTGCTTGTTGGCCTGCGTATCTACAAGACAGAAGCAATAAGATCACCAACTAAAGCTAATTAGATTATTTTCATTTTTCCTCTCACAGAGTTGGCTACTGTATCACACAGTTTATTGGATATGTAAAATCTAAAGTCTAAATTGAGATATAATCATGCAAACTTAAATTCCAAATTTGAGCAACAATCAATAGGTTTAGCATGACACTTGAGAAGTAAAAGTTTCAGTATCTTTGTAATGGAAAGGAATGAACTATATGTGCAAGAAGTGGTGCTATTAAATTGAAGAAAAAAAATACTACAAAGTCAAAATTACGATAATGGAACTAATGTACTTGATAGATTATGAACGGAATATATAAGCTGTTCATGTCTGATACATCTGGGGAGAACTGGCCAGATCTTTATCATGAGAAGAATAAATACTCGAAAAATAACAGTAATCATCATTCAAATTCCGAAGAGTGTCTCCACCTTCCGGTAGCTGATTCAACGCCCTTCGCTTTCAGGGAGTGAAAAAGTCTTGTTCGTATTAAAGGAACTTTTTTGGTCTTTCATACTTTTAGAGCACCTTCGATATTTCAGTAAGTAGAAACGATGGGTTCTATGTGCAGATATTCATGTTTTCTATGACGCTTTTCTACTTTGTGGATAAATCTTATACCCCGACTTCCCCAGTTTAATCAACAACATTTGTTACTTTATCCCAAATTTAACGATTTGGAAAGAAAAGAAAAAAACTCTGTTCTGCAAGTAGTTCCAGAAATACCACTTGGCCAGCATAACAAAATGGACTTCTAAAATCTAAAAATAACAAAAGACAATTGCAGGCCTCAGAGAATTGCAGCAAAAGTTCGACTGACAATTATCAGAACCAAGCGAATTGCTAGGGCAATCTAATGAAATAACTTTTTAACAGGCAATCCAATTCCATTAGACCAAGCAAAATATGTTTGATGCAGTAACTACGTTGGTGACAATCTGGTCATAGTATGCTCACATTACAGGATAGCAGGTGCACACACTTTAGTAGACAAGAAAGTGGCAGCAGAAAAATTGAAAGAATAGCATGCTTACTCTATCAAGAACTCGTCAGCAGCATCCTTAAGACATACTTTACTCAAATGATTCTTGACAACGTACGCCGCTTTTTCTCTGCAGTACCCTCTACGGCATCCACAATCATTCAGATAAAGGATTACTCGACGGTCAGAAACATCATTCTTGAAGCTCACTCCACAAAGCAGTATCTCCTGAAATAAGAAAAAGGGATTGCGGAAAACAGTTAGATGAGTGCATAGCTGGTCAGAACTAAGTGTCAGACAAAAAACTTGTTTCCAAGCACTACCTTCATCATCTCCCAGGAGGAATTACTGCTTGGAGATGAATCAAGAACTGCCTTGTATGCAGGATTGGACATAGCAGTTGCAGCCAACACTCCAACTGGATCACCAGCACAAAATTCACTTGGTAAATTTGACCCACCGCTAGCCCCATATTCAAACTGAATAATTGAGTTGCTGGAAACGTTCCTAACAGTCCCGTCATAACAAATGACTACATCGCGGAGAATGGCCATCAAATTCTTGAACAATGTCCCAGGTTCAGTTAATCCCCTGGTTGAGCGGACAATCACTTCTCTACTGGAGATCGAATGAATCATCTCCTGGTAAGGGTCCAACCCGTAGAACAGACAACTTCTAACCAACCCAAATTCCTCGGAAGGGTTAGTACCAACAGAAGGATACTTCTTCTGAAACAGTCGAGCCATGTCATACACCAGTGTCTTTGTGTAAAATTTGCCCCTGTCTGATATTTGCAAGCCTAAGAAACCAATTTGCTGAACCACCTTATTAAAGGCAGATTCACTCTTGGAATCAATTAGAACACCCATGCCAGACGACTTGAGCACAAAGTCAATAACTGGAAGTTTCTCGTTACGCAAGTGATGCTCCAATTGTACTTCTACGGACTCATTATAGGATGACCGCAAATTATGTAGCAACTTGGACATGCACTGAATTCTTTCCTGGATACCATCCCTAACAGCCTTTGACATGTAGAAATCTCGGAGACTAATACTAAAACCTTCTGTGCACAAATTTTCCATTAAAAGAGGCTGTAAAGAATTAAAGAACTTCAATACATCATTAGGACCCTTCATAAAATAGATAGATGTGATAACATCATTCAGAATTGATGAAATCAAGTCTCTGTTGTAATCTATTCCAAGGAACTGACTTTTTCCAATTGTGTGCGTCTCCCCACAACTATCAAAGCCATCCGGTAAAGCAGCCCCCAAGATCTGCAAGGTCGTCCACATGGCACCAGATTTACGAACATCTACTACAGCAGAATCAGGTAAGGCCATCGGAAGAAACATTGCTAACTGTTGGGCAGCTGCTTTATCAAAGAAGTAATTTGAGAACATTAACTTCAACGACAGCAATGAGTCGGTGGCAAGCTGCAAATTGAAGTTACCAGTGTGAGAACTCAGTAACTGTTTCCCTACGGCAAAAAGCTCCACAACCTCTGCTTTGGCAGAAAGGGACTGAGGGTAAAACAAATGAATGCAGTCCCCATCAAAATCAGCACTAAGGGGGCCGCACATAAGTGGGTTGATCTTCACAGTGTGATCATCATGGACATACACTGATAAGGCTTGGAGGGAGTGCTTATGTGTTGTGGGTGGCCTGTTAATGAAAACAGTATCACCATCCATTATCCTCCTATGCACTATTTGCCCAGGTCGTAGAAATGTATGCCCCTTTGACCCTTCTCTCAAAGAATAAGTACTTGACCCATCTTTATAGGTTAAACAAAGCTTTTCATCTACCAATTTCTGTAAGTATGCCATATTGTGCTGACTTACTCTCTCCTCAAAAGTGATTTTCTGAGCAATTTCACATGGCAAACCAATCTCACCCACCCCTTTGTATGGGTCACCAGTTATGACACTTCGAGATGAGAAACCAGACCCCTTTCTGATAAACAAGGTCTTCATCTTCTCTAGCCAGGCTTTAGTGGTGGTATCAACTGCTTCCTTGTGTATTCCAAAACGTTTATCAACATCACGAGATGCCTAGTATTGAGAATGAAATAGACAATGAGACCATCTTCATTGCATGGATACAAAAGTATCAGTGGAAGAACATTAATTATTAATAAACTAATATCAAAGAACTAAAGTTTCGAATCAAACCCAGAAATTCTCTTTTTCCTACATTACCTGATTTGCAGAAAAATACACTTTCAGAAAGTAGATTTTTCATCCTAGATTAGGTACTTCTTAGAACATTACCCAATTTTTCAGTAACAGTTGAAATCACATAAAAGCTACATTCCTGTTCTCCACAGCAAAACAAGATCACGGCCATTCACTTGAAGCAGTGAATGAATCTATCACTGGTCCCCCACCTCCACCCACCCAATTTTTTTAAAAAAAGCCCCCTATCGGCCTCTCTGAATAGGCAAGGCAATTGATATCAACCTCAGCAAGGCTGTTAGAATGCACTGTGCAGTTTAGGGTGACCAACCATCTTCGTCTTCCTTCTATGTTACATGGAACCAACAATTTTGGGAGTACAGTATAATGAGGAACTTATTTGAGCAGACGAGCTATTTCTTAAATTGTTTGGTAAAAAAAAGATACTCCCTAGCTAAAACAAATAAACACTCAATAAACTACAAAAGAAAACAGATAAACAGAAGGATCTATGATGTCTTCAGATATGAGACAGAACAGTTCGAAGTCACTACCTGAACTATGGCATCATTGACTTTCTGTTTGTTTAAAACTGTAAATTAGCCAAGTCTCATAAGTGCAGACACTTGACATATACTCAGGAATTAAAAAAGAAACACAAAACTGTCGAAAACTCAAAAAACCAAAACTAGTCTTGCCAAGGAGACTATGCAAAAGCACAAAGTGGTGCGGTAACTAATTATTAGAAATTGCAAGTGCTACAAACTACTTCCATGATATTGGAAGACTGAAACAATAAAATCACAAGCCACTCCAAGCAGATGGGAAAAGTTGATCATTGTTCAAATTCAAGTTTTAACAATAAAAGCAGACTCAGATATGGTATATGTTTCAAAGCATTATTCAAGATCCTTGGGTGGTGCCTGAGCATACTGCTAACCTACTAAACTGTTGGATGAGAAGAGGGGGGAGTAAAACACAGAAAAAATGGTGGAATCTAGTTCCATCTTGCATATGGTGGTCAATTTGGAAGGAAAGAAACAATAGGTGCTTTAAGAATATTACTAACCCAATGCAGAAAGTTAAAGAAAACTGCATTAATACTCTATATTTTTGGTGTAAAGAAGAGGGTATATATGAAGTAGATCAGTTAGTAGATTTCCAAGGCTCTTTGTAATCATGACTACTTCGCCTTGGAACTTTTTTTTGTTTGGTTGCCAGCATACCCTCATTGCTGATGAATACAACTTTACCATTCTCTAAAAAAAAAAAAAAAAAAAAAAAAAAAAGCAGACTCAGTACCTTGCCTGTCCCCCTAAATTGGAGATACTGGACAATTGCTGCTTGTAAATCATTTGCCTCCACTTCATGAGCCTCAAAATTAGGTGTACCAGATCTTGAACTTTTAATTATGTCAATTTGCCTCAGCACCTTCCTGAGCATTGTTATAGAGTGATCCTGAAAAAGCAACATGAAAATATGAAAACTTGCAACTTGACATACACAAGTGAATGCCAATAATATATGATATTCAATTTAAGTGTCTTACCGAAGACATGATGTTATTCCCATCAGATATATCAGGCACAGACAAACAGTTAGGAGGTACAGGTAAGTATTGCAGGATGTATCCCTCCTGTGGGAAATAGCCTTTAGCTGATAGCTTTTTTCTCGTATCTTCCCGAATTCTTCTCAAAATAGCAAGAACCTAAAGTCGTGTGTGATAACAAAAACAAGAGAAAGCAAATTGAACTGAGATATCTTTTAGCCAGAACACAAAATTGAATTTTGGCAATGAAAAATTATCAATTCAAAGAAAACTGATTGACGAACCAGAAAGGAAACTCCGGAACATTTTATAATAGGTACAACTACCAAGAAATTGATCAAGGGGAATGATCCAATAAATCAAATCCCCAATATCATCAAAAGTTCAAATACATTATACAAGATTAACATTTCATAAAATCCCAACTTAAACATTGTCACTAGCAGAAAATACTGATTTCCAGTGAAAGAGAAATCAACCTAGTCATTCCCACTCTCCTTCTAGGGGGGTCAACTGCACTACCACAGAAAAAAAAATTGAACAAGCATAATATTAGTATCACTATCAGTTCATTTTCCCCTCTTTGTTGGTTCCCCTAAAGAATATCTTTACGCTGTATGTTGTAGTGCATTTCTCAGCTGGTCTTTCTATAAGATATATATATCTATAAAATGAGTTTAATTGTCGGGAAGGCCAGAATTCATAAATAATAGAGATCGCATCAGTATACTCTTCTGACCCAGGTCCCAGTGGCAGAATTGTGAGGCATGAACCAAAGGGCAAGGGTTATCACCTTTTTGTAATGCAGTCACACTTTTCCGAGCTGCCAATCATTTTAGTTTGCCAGGAAATGCCAAAGCTGTGACTTCACAAGCAATGGATTTGCATGGACGTCTAAGTGATCAGTGATGGAATCATGAGGCTTTGATATCAGAAGGGCAGCATAGGAAACGCAGCCAAAATCAAATACATTAACCACTAGAAATAGATCAAGAAGCACCAGAAATGTCTACTTACTTTTATGAGCAACTCAACGAGTAGAACAAATACATTTTGATCCAATTCAATTCAGCTCATTACAGAATTTAACTATTTATAAGCAGCTTTTCTTCAGTTCCTATTTTTAAGCTGTGGAGTGATTCTACAGAGACTGAGAAACTAACCTCGGAAGGAAGCAAAGGTCGAGAATAACCGTCACCGTAGCGGTAGCCATATTTCTCCAAGAAGTTCCACTCTTGAAGCTTTGCAGCATTTTTTGGTACTTTCAACTCCAAATAGGAAGCACCATCTGAGGTTTTGCCCTCATTTACTGAGACTTGTGCGACATCCTACATTACATAAGAATATATTAAACCCATAAATCACATTACTCAAGAAGAAAGTTCAACTTCTGGTTATAAATTCAATAAGAAAAATTACTACAAATTTAAACAGACTCCAGCTTTAAAACATTCATAGTCAAATAAAGAGCTCAATATCTTTCAGTTTAGGATTATGGCTAGGGAACAAGCCATGAACTCCTTTTCTTTTAGCTCCTACATGGAGTCTCTTCTTAACAGTCGTCGTAAGACAACAATGTTCAGATAAACACTTAAAATACATATCCCAACAAACAGATTAGCAGATAGGTGAATGTGAATGTGAATGTCCAAAAGAAGGCAAATCCCTTCAAGAAGTCATGAACTAAACATAGTGATTGCTTCACCACATAAAACACCAAGGGGTCGCTTGGTACAAACATGATAACGCAGGGATTATTTCATGTAATTGAGTCAAGGTAGATAACCGCCAGACAATATTATTCTTTTGTAGGATTTTCTATTACATTTAACTAGTTAAGTTGAATATATATATATATACCACTAAGGAGATCCTTGATGGCACGGTGTATTTCTAATTTTTTGTTGGTCAAATATATCTTAAACTTAACATAGAGTTAAGACTACTTATATTGTTCAATACCTAAAGCTTATTAAAAAAATAGTTCAAGTGGTTAATCAATGTACTACATTGAATAAAAAAAATTCAAAAAAAAAAGGAGAATTTTTTTTAGTGAAATCATTAAATTACACTAAACAAATTTGGAGAACTAAAAAGAACATTGCGTACCGAACACACTCACTCTTTTGTAACTACTTCGTATCTTTTTGATGACATGAATTGAATCAATTGGAACACGAATGCTTGCCTTATGCTCCCAGGCACCAATCCCGAGGTCTTTTAACCCCCAACCAGACTCTCTTTCCCCCCTCTCCGGTGGTCCTTCTGACCACCGGAAACCTACCAGTCCCTTCTTCCTTTCTTTCCAAGCTTTAGTCGATGGAGAATATCATATACTTCGCAGTGGGTTTCAAATCCTTTGACATCGAAAAGATCTCAGGGACGACAGGGATTTGGTACGAGTGGACTGAAAGAATCAGAAAAACCATTACAAGGACTTCCTTCAGCAAGAGATCCATGGAATGGATAGTCCAAATTCTCAGAGAAGCATCTAAGACGCAAGGAAACATAGTTCGTAGATGGAAGAAGACAGAAGCTTTGTCGGAGATCTTTTGTGCGCGGAACTACAATAAGTTTGGAAGATACATCAGCCTTATAAATTTAAGGGGGAAAAGGAAATCAGTTCTCATTATTCCAGAAATGACTCTCAACTCTGGATGGGTGGATATAGCAGAGAAGCTGACAAGATTCATTAGCACACACAGGATGAAAAATGTCATTGAGGAATATAGGCTAACTGATAGCAATATTCCTTATGCAGAGATAGTCAGAAGCTTTAAATGGGCAAACAGAGATGGGAAAGACTCGAAGGTTGACTTTGCAGTTAAAAATGGAGGAGTAATCAGCATTAAAGACTCCTTAATAACTCAAAATGAAGTTTTGAAGAGAAGTTTGGTGGGTGAATTTAATGCCTCTGTAGTCCTCTCTGAAGTCAGAAGGTGGGCTTCTAGTCTCTGGAAACAAGCACACGGCTTAAATATTTATGAAATGGGGAATGGAATGTTTCTGTTTGAATTTAATTCAAAAATGACTGCAGAACAGGTCATGGAGGGGGATTGGCACTGGTTGAAAACTCCAATAAGGCTACAATGGTGGAATCCCTTAAGTGGAACCATTGAGAAGAAGAATGGGCCTGACACAACCTGGGTCAAGATAGTGGGGCTCCCACTCCACCTATGGACTCACAAGGTCTTCAAATCAATAGGTGACACTGCGGGGGATGGGTCGAAACAGAGGAGGAAACAAGTATTCGCAATCATCTGAAATGGGCAAGACTCAGGATCCGTGGTGACGGCAGTAACATTCCGAGGGAGATAAAGATCGAAAATGGTGGACTGGTCTTCACGATGCAAATCTGGGTCGAAACTCCGATGAAAGTGGAGGCCGGAGAAGATAAGCAAAATAGGTCTTTTAACCAACAGATATTGGGGGATAATCCAATGGGTAAAAGGTCTGATGAGGCTACAGATATAGTACAGGGGGACAGGGCTAGGGTTGAGTCAAACCCTAGGCCATGTGCAATTGCTGGCACTAGTGGGGTCCAACAACTTTTGTCTTTAACTAATAAAGCACAAATTCAATCTGTTGAAAGAGAAATATTGGGCCCAAAAGAATCATTGGGCCATAACCCTACTGAAGTGAATTTAACCCCACTTATTTTAAAGGGGAAGTCACGTGAGGCACATGAGGATTCACTTAGTGGACTTAAAAACATAAAAGAACTGGCTTCACAGTTCTTAGAAGCCTTCAGAGCTTGGGAGTTCTCTCCAGATTTAAATGTGACGGAGAACATGGCATCACAAGTAGCACCGGAGGAAAATTCTCTCATGCAAGCTAAGGAAAGGATAGAATCCAGCATAAATAACGACATGAGCAGAAGAGCTGAGAATGAGTACATATCTATGGATCAGACTCCATTAGAAACAAGGGAGACAGACTTGCAGATTCAGCAAATATTCGATGCAGAACCAGTGGACATGCAAAATTTGGCTGAATCAGAAACAACTGAGACTGAAGCACCAAGCTGGGTGAACTCACACATACTGGAACTGAGCAACACCTATGGGGTAGCCTTTGAGGGGTTTGAGAAGGAAACACTAGCATTGCTCATGAGAATTGATGAGAGGAAATCGATGCTAGACAACAAAGGGAAAGAAATAACCACCACAACTCCAAAGAGCAGGGGGATAGGGAAAAATGAACTTAAGAACCTTCAATCTAGCCTAAACAAAGAGGTGGATGGGATCAGAAACAGGGGAAGGGTGCTCAGTTTAACATTTAAATGAATATAAAACTTCTCTCATGGAACGTAAGGGGTCTTAACAACATCTCCAGCAAGAATATTGTTAAGACATGTTTGCAGAAATGGAAAGTGGATGTGGTTTGTCTTCAGGAGACAAAGTTAAATAAAGGAATAGAGGAGATTGCTAAACAGTTATGGGCATGTAGATGGATGAGATACGGCTACATAGAAGCAGATGGAAGCAAGGGGGGAATCCTAATCATGTGGGATAGTAGAACATGGGCAGGCACAAAGGTGGAGGAGGGGAACTACTCAATTACTTACAAGTTTGAATCAATACAAAACTCTTTCTCATGGTTCTTTACTGGAGTATACGGTCCACATGGCAGAAGTAAGAAGTTAGAGTGTTGGGAGGAAATGGCAGCAATGAAGGAACTGAGTGAAGGCCCCTGGGTCACCAGCGGGGACTTTAACACAGTCAGACACATGGAAGAAAGAAGAGGGTGCACTAGAGTCACCAATATCATGACTGATTTCTCCAAGTGGATTGAAGACTTGGAATTACATGATCCAGAACTATTTGGGGGGAAATACACTTGGTTAAGAGGATCCTATCACCAAAGTGCTGCAAGACTTGACAGATTCCTATACTCCATGGAGTGGGAGGAGTGTTTCAAAAATATCAGACAAAGCATCCTGCCCAGAACAGTCTCTGATCACAGCGCAGTACTATTAGAATGTGGGAACTGGGAACATAGGCAATCCTATTTTAAATTTGAAAACTGGTGGCTCAAAGTGGATGGTTTCAAGGAGATGGTGCAGGGGTGGTGGAGTGGCTTTGTGGTAGAAGGGTGCCCTGACTATAGACTTAGCAACAAGCTAAAGATGCTGAAACAAAAGTTGAAAGAATGGAGCAAACAAACCTTCAATGAAAGAACCAGAAGGAAAAATAGCCTGCTAGAAGAATTGTCTGAGTTGGACAAAATCCAAGAAGAAAGAGAACTGTTTGAAGATGAAGTGTTGATAAGAGCAACAATACTTGTGGAGCTGGAAGTATTAGCAAAGCAAGAAGAAGCCAGCTGGAGGCAGAAATCCAGAGCTTTGTGGTTGAAACAAGGAGACAATAATACTAAATTTTTTTCAAAGAGTAGCTACAGCCCGCAGGAGATGTAACACAATTGACAAACTATTGGTGAGAGGTGAGGAAACCCAGGATCCTAAAGAAATTAAGGAAGCCATGATTGAATTTTACTCCAAGCTCTACACAGAACCTGAACCATGGAGACCTTCCTTTGAATTTAGAGGATGCCCAACAGTCTCAGCTGAAGAAAATGAGTGGTTGCAAAGGCCTTTCACAGAAGAAGAAGTACTACAGACCATTAAGCAGTGTGATGGTGACAAAGCTCCAGGTCCTGATGGTTACACCATATCTTTCTTCAAGGAGTGTTGGGATATTCTTAAGGAAGATCTCATGCATACTATCCACAATTTCCATATGAGGAGCTTTTTTGAGAAATCCTTTAATGCTACTTTCATAGCTTTGATCCCAAAGAAACCTGAGGCAATGGAATTAAAGGATTTCAGACCGATCAGCTTAATTGGAGTGGTGTACAAGATCATTTCTAAGCTAATCACTGAAAGATTGAAAATAGTTATAGGGAAGCTGGTTGATGGACATCAAATGGCATTCTTGAAAGGAAGGCAAATCATGGATGCTGCTCTGCTGGCTAATGAAATGGTTGACTCTAGGGTAAAACAGAAGAAACCAGGCATCCTATGCAAGCTAGATATTGAAAAGGCTTATGATCATGTTAATTGGAATTTCTTGCTAAAAATTCTGAAAGACATGGGTTTTGGAGAGAAATGGATTGGCTGGATACAGTATTGCATCTCAAATGTAAGATTCTCACTCATTATAAATGGTAAGCCTGAAGGATTTTTTCAATCGCATAGAGGTCTTAGACAGGGAGACCCTATGTCACCTTTTTTGTTCCTACTAACTATGGAGGGTCTGAACCACATGTTCAGAACAGCAAAGGTAAATGGTTGGATAAAAGGGTTCAATGCTCAAATAGGGAGAGGTGATGATCTGGAAATTACACATCTTTTCTATGCAGATGATGCCCTGGTTTTTTGTGAAGCAGAAGTGGCACAAATCAAACACTTGAGAGCAATCCTTACAATATTTGAGGGCATTTCAGGGCTTCATGTTAACTGGTCGAAAAGTTTCCTCTTCCCAATTAATCAGGTAGACAATATACAAAGTCTAGCTGAGAATTTGGGATGTCAGATAGCTTCTCTGCCCACGAAGTACCTGGGGTTGCCTTTGGGGGCCAAAAATAAGGAGTTGGAGGTATGGAATGAGGTGATGGAGAGATGTGAGAAAAGACTCTCAAGATGGAAAAGTCAGTACCTATCACTGGGGGTAGGTTGACTCTCATCAAGTCAGTTTTAGATGGGTTACCTACCTACATGATGAGTCTATTTCCAATACCCAAGAGCATTGTGAAGAAAATCAACAAAATGAGAAGATCCTTCATTTGGCAAGGGAACAAAGAGAAGAAAGGCTACAACCTGGTGAAATGGGAGACACTCACTTTGAGCAGAAAACAAGGTGGCCTTGGCATGAGAAATCTTAGCATCCAGAATAATTGCTTGCTACAAAAATGGCTATGGAGATTCTGTACTGAAGATGGAGCCCTATGGAGAAGATTCATAGCAGGGAAATATGGCTTGTTTAGCCAATGGACCACTGAGGAGGTGATGGGGTCGTTTGGATGCTGTGTGTGGAAGACCATCAGAAGGTTGTGGCCACAGTTCAATAACAATATTTATATTAGTGTGGGCAATGGTCTGAAAACAGATTTCTGGAATGAAATCTGGAAAGGGGATGATAGAACTTATTCCCAAACCTCTACACCTTGAGCTTACAAAGATCTGCTACTGTTGCTCAAGTATGGAGCCAACAAGGGTGGAACTTAGTGTTCAGGATGGCTTTGAATGACTGGGAAATTGAGGATGTGGCCAAGCTACTAGAGGTGCTAAACACCCCTCCAGCCATATCTCAAAGAAAGGATAAACCAATTTGGAAGTTACATAGCAAAGGAATGTTCACAGTCAAATCATGCTACTGGAGGATAAATGTCAATCAGTCAGTGACTAAAAAATGGCCTTGGAAGCTAGTGTGGAAGACAAGAAGCCCATTAAAAGTAGCATGTTTTGTTTGGTTGGTCATAAGAAAAGCTTGCCTTACACATGAGGCATTACAAAAAAGGGGGATGCAGTTTTGCTCAAGATGTTTTATGTGTGAGCAGAAAGCAGAAGTAAATAATCATTTGTTCATTCACTGTAAAGCAGCTTCAAAATTGTGGAATATGTTTTTGTGTATACTAGGGGTTAGCTGGGTGATGCCAAAGACAACCATGGAGCTCCTTAATAGCTGGACAAAAATTGGCAACAGAGGGAAAAGTGAAGATTGGTGGAAGACTATTCCAGCCTGTATATGGTGGACTCTATGGAAAGAAAGGAATGCTAGGTGTTTTGAAGGACAAAATGATAGTTTTCAGAAGATAGAAATGAAATGCTTAAGTCTTTTATTTTTTTGGTGTAAGCAAGAGTTGGTAGGGGAAAGCATAGAGATGGTCGATTTTAAAGGAAACTTGTAATTCCATATGACTGTTTGAGGGTGTGCCCACCACCCTGTGGGATGTAAGTTTCCAATTCATCATCCCTTGGATGATGAATTTTTTGTGAATACAAAGTTACCCTTATCTCAAAAAAAAAAAAAGAACATTTATCATTATTTCAATATAAATAAAAAGAAAATCAAATTACAAAAAGAAATTTAGGAAAATGAATAAAGGGATAGTTTTGTCATTTAGGGGTCTTATCCAAGGTTTGTTAAACCTTGGATTAGTTATCCCTCCATTTTCTAGGGATAAAATAAGACCACATATGGTGTATAAGCAATCCATGGATTAAATAAAATAAAGTAACCAAACAATGTATTAGATGGACTAAATTTTAATCCATGGACTATTCTATTTAATACCGCCTACCAAACGGGTCCTAAGTACATGTATACTCCTACACGTGTTGAATTATGGGATTTAAATATGACGTTCCAATTTTAGGGCATTGACCTACTTAATCTAACCTCATTCGGAAACGGCCTCTCTACCTCCACGAGGTTGGGGTAAGGTATGTGTGCACTCTACCTTCCGATATTTTACTAGGTATGTCGTTGTTGTTGACCTATTTAATCTAACCAAATTATAAAAGACAGCATGAAATGATGCCAATTGATAGTCAAAATGATGTATCACGAAAATTTAGAAGTGTACTCTATGCCCCCAATAATACAACTTCATTACCTCGTTGAAAGAAGTGAAGAACTAGATCATACTCAGATATGCAATCTCATATTTCAAAAGAATGTGAATATATTTCTGTATGTGTGAATATATACACAGATGTGTACAGCAATCTCAACTCTGCACATACTGTTTCTATGACTCATTTACTTATATAGAATGCAACACATAAATTTCAAGGACAGAGACTCTTCCACAAGAAGTCAAAGAGCTTAATAAAAACTAAAAGAACCATCACTATCAACATGCCCTTAGTCACTCTTAAATAGAAAAGGCACTATTTCATACAGAGGCTAACAATACTTGCATTACTAGCTAAGAGGCAGAGGGACAAGCAAAAAGGGTTGGGTAAAATCACACACTATTAGTCGAGGTGCACGCAAGCTGGCCCGGCCTCACTGTTAACAAAAAAAATGCACACTATTTATATGAAGTATAAAAGAAAATGGACACTAGCTAGAGGGAACAAAAAATAGTGATACACCCCAAAGAAGTGATGAAGGGTCTTATTAAACCTCTATGTAGTTCATATAATAATTACTATCACATCCCTGTCAATTAAATTGCTTTAAATTGCAACTTTTGGTTGGTGTCTCAGTATTTGCAATAGAAAAAATACAGAAAGAATTACATACATATAAAACGGAAACCATGCAAATCATCATACAGACAAGGAAAAGATTAAAACCTGACCTTGCTTGTTTAATATACCAATAAGAATAACTGTGTTTACACCAAATAAGAAACTCTGAACAATTTGGAGACACATAAATGCTGATACCCAACCACAATATTTTGTTTGTTAGTATGAACACAATTACATGGGTTGCTAGATACTCACCTCACAACATGAGGACAACATTCGTTCAAGAACACCAGCATTCTTGACCTGAAACTGAGTATTGTCTCAACAAGGTTAGAAGATCGCACAGATTGCTTTCACAACAAATTTGAATAATTTTACACCTATGCAGGAATCAAGAGAAACACCATGCACAAAGCACCTTCCAAATACAAGTCCATAAAAATCATCAATTTTACTGATCTTAAACTTCGTCCTGTAGAATCTTTGTAGAAACGAAAATAATTTATTTATTATGTTAAAAAGGAGGAATTAATGAGATCTAATACCTTTCTGTTTTTCATCTTTAAGCACTTCAAGCAAAGCAGGCTTAGCATCTTTTTCAACTCACTGACATGGTCAGGGTGATAAATAGGAATGGGCAACTCAATGTATCCAAAATGACCTGAAACAGACAAATTGGGGTTTGAAGAAGAACACAACAATCGCATATAATTTCAACAATGCTTGAAGCCAGTATTTAATCCCTGTCAACTTCTCAACTTCAATGATCTATTGATATACGCATACCATATCAATAAGTGGAATTATTCTTGCATATACACTTCACTTGCAGCTTAGCATTACCCCTATCTCTATTAGAAACAATAAAAGTGAAATAGATGAAAATGTCTTAGTACCTTCACACTGGCCAGGCTCCGCAGTACCACAGGATTCACATCTGCCAGCTTCGAGAGGCAGACCAAGGAAAGGATTTAAAAGTAGGCTCGGATGGGTAATCGGGCAATCGCTAATAGAGGATTTACACTGCCAGACACCAGAAAGGAAAAGAATTTATAACTGACACATAGTATAAAACCAGTAGTCAACTCAGAAACTTAATTGTAAGGGTAATTGGTTCATAGTTAAACTAGGAACAGTTGGTAGAATTACTTGAAAAGTTTAGAAAATGACTAAACACTATTTTGTCTTCAAATAAGTAAAAATTTTCAAGCACTATTCATCGAGATTATGTCAGAAAGTATGAAATGCCCAGTTGTTTGATAAAATGTGTGTACAGACTAAAGCCTGGTTTACTTTTTCTAGAAAACCTTGCATAAACTTGTACTCACTATTTCCTGTGGTGTAGCCAAACCAAATTTGATACGTTTAACAATCCCATCCGATACTTTCGATGACAGACTTTCCTCCATGTTTTTCTACACTGCAGCTGAAAGAGAAGTTTAAAAATCACTAGGTGCCCCAGAAATGCAGCTTTAACAAGAATCTAATCTGACCACCATTTTGGCAAAATTTCCAACTTCCAGACAAGGAAAATAGTCAATGTAAGCTAACTTTAAATCAGATTCATCAATACAATGTTTTGCTAATCTTTTAGAAGTGTTGTAACTTCATAAATTGATTAACATGCACCTACACCTATCGGCGAAAATAACAATGTCAAGAACAGCGAAAATAACAATGTCAAGAATGGCGAAAATAACAATGTCAAGAACGGTGAAAGTAATGTCAAGAACAGCAAAAATAACTGACAAAAACCTTTTCTACTGCTTATATCCTACCAAACATCAAAAAAAATTGGCAGAAAAACAATTTCCACCAAGATATGAATGATTCAAGCAAAAAATACGACTAGAACAGAGTCTAACAGGGAAGTGAAACTCAAAAACAAAAAACAAGAAAACATTAACAGATTCTAAGTAGAACCCACATGCAAGAAGCAAAACCCACCAAGAATCAAACCCTAGCACACACCCAAAAACCCTAGTTTTAGTTTACAAGAACAGCAAACCTCACAAAGCAGAACTACGTTAATTCGAAACAAGGGTTTCTGTCAATAAACCCCAAATTAATACACCCCAAAAAACAAGACATAAAGCAAGTTCTAAAATGCAAATGAACAGTCAATACCCTTTTAAACAAATGGGTAACTCAAAAAGAACCACTACAAATGAATGCCATTTAAATTACCAACACAAATCGTAGAAACAAGAAAAAAAGGGTATACCAAATCTGTACCACACTGTCTTTCTTGTTTTCTCCTCACAGAAAAAGTTGGGGGAAATTCTTGAATTGCATTCAAGTCTCGCCTACAGTGTGGGGAAGAAGAAAAAGAGGACAAATTTCAAAGGGTTTTACAGTGCCCAGTAGCTACAAAAGGACAGCTTCTTCTTAGTGCATGGAGCAGCAGAGTGAGTGGCACTTTGAGTGTGATTTGGAGGGCTCACAAATTGGGAAAAAAGAGAAGAATGGAGAGAAAATATAAAATTTCTGTCCTTCCCCTTCTCTATAAAAATAAAATATAATATAAAATGAAAAAAGAAATATGTGTATAAATAGTTGTACTATGTGCTATATTAATTGTACGTAGCTAGAAGTGTAAAGATGCCATTGTCTTAAAAAAATAATGGAAATAAAATTTGTGGTCCCTTAATTATTCATAAATTTTATTTTTATCCTTATACTAAGTAAAAAAGCAAGTACATTAAATTTAAAATTAATTACGGAAAACATTAAAAATGTATTCAAACTATATGAAATTGAATTAAAATGCTCTTAGATTAATAGCTAAAATGCACATATCATCAATAATTTGGCCATAAAAGATTTCTGTCACTAATAATTTGATCCAATAATCCTCTTATTGTTATTTAATGTTCAAACATATTGTTTTTCTAATAAATATATTAATATTTTCTTTTTAAACACATTTATTGAGAAATATATTAGAAAAAATAGTCAAGGTGCATTAATGGATGGTTAAAAATGATCAAATTTGTGTTATTCAGTTAAATTTCTATTTAATGAAATTTTAATCAATGGAAACAAAGATCTTGTTTTTATTCTAGATGCTTTATACATAAATATAATTTGGGAAAAAGGACGAATATACCCCCGAACTTTGATAAATGGTACGTCTATACCCTCCGTTATACTTTTCGTCCATCTCAACCCTTGTCGTCCAATAATCGGTGCACATTTGCCCCTCCCACTAACGGCACCCTCTTTGTGTACACGTGGAGAAATCCTAAGCCACTACCCGGTTGACCAACTTTTTTAACCCAAATTCTAAGAACCCGCCCCATAACCCAATAAACCCACCCAATTTGTGGGTAAAATATACCTTCTAAAATCTGAAGAACCCACCCCATAACCCAATAAATCACCCGATTTGTGGGTAAAATATACTCTCTAAAATCTAAAGAAAAGACTCAAATCCTAAATCATTTTCGTTCATCTCACAAACCCTAACCTAGTTCATCAGATTTTAGAGAGTTCATCGGTGCAATTGCTGCCTCAAATGCTGGCGATTTCTTAGAAACACACATCAGTGTATCATTTTGTCCAGCCTCGTCCTTAAATGCAGTCAAAGGGTTAGAGGATTCATAAGCTAAAGTTGGATGTCTGCTGCTGCTGCTTGTGGTGCCCAGATGCGAAAGTTGATGCTTGTTTTTGTTGCTTTTGTTAGTGAAGATGTTAATGAATTGGAGTCCTTTTCGGCAAATTTTACTAATTATTGAGTTTAATTTTCCTAATTATTGAGTATAAATTTTACTAATTATTGAGTTTAAAATCTAAACAAAAGACCCAAATTTTAAATTTTAGAAGGTATATTTTACCCACAAATTGGGTGGGTTTATTGGGTTATGGGGCGGGTTCTTAGAATTTGGGTTTAAAAAGTTGGTCAACGGGGTAGTGGCTTAGGATTTCGCCACGTGTACACAAAGAGGGTGCCGTTAGTGGGAGGGGCAAATGTGCAACGATTATTGGATGGCAAGGGTTGAGACGGACGAAAAGTATAACGGAGGGTATAGACGTACCATTAATCAAAGTTCGGGGGTATATTTGTCCTTTTTCCCATATAATTTTAAGTTGTATGAGTTGAAAAGGTAAAGTTAGATATTTAATCTCCAAGAAAAAAAATGGAGTCCAATCTTTCACATTAGAGTTTTTCTTAGTACAAGAATAATTATGAAAAGTCTTGCTAATAGTAAAAAATATATAAGTATGTTTTGATCGTGCATGTAATTGATGCAAAGTTTATATTTACATGAAATACACGTGCAAGGCATGTGCTAGAAACTAGTATATAAATTGGTTCACAATTCATCAATTTGAATTGTATTTTTTATAACATTAGTTAGAAAACTTAACGCACACACCCAAAAAATATATAATATAAAATGAAAAAGGAAATATGTGTATAAATTGTTGCACAATGTGTTGTATTAATTGTACGTAGCTAGAAGTGTAAAGATGCTATTGTCTTAAAAAATAATGAGAATAAAATTTGTGGTCCCTTGATTATTGATAAATTTTAGTTTTGATCCTTATGTTATGTAAAGCAAGTACATTAAATTTAAAATTAATTGTGGAAAAGGTTAAAAATATATTCAAACTATATGAAATTGAATTAAAATGCTCTTGGATTAATAGCTAAAATGCACATATCATCAATAATTTGGCCATAAAAGATTTTTGTCACTAATAATTTGATCCAATAATGTTCTTATTGTTATTTAATGGTCAAATATATTATTTTCTAATAAATATATTAATATTTTCTTTTTTAACACATTTATCAAGAAATATATTAGAAAAATAGTCAACGTGCATTAATCAATGGTTACAAAAGTTGTTCAAAAATAGTCAAATTTGTGTTAAACAGTTAAATTTCTATTTAATGAAGTTTTGACCGCTGAAAAAGATCTTGTTTTTATTCTAGCTGCTTAGTACATAAATATAATTTTAGTTGTAATCGGGAATTGAAAAGGTAAAGTTAGATATTTATTCACGAAGAATACACATGGAATCCAATCTTTTTCGCATTAGAGTTTTTCTTGGTACAAGAATAAATATGAAACGTCTTGCTAACAGTAAAAAATATAAGTTTGTTTTTATCATAAACGTAATCGATGCAAATTTTATATTTACATGAAATACACGTGCAAGACATGTGCTAGAAATTGGTATATAAATTGGTTCATAATTCATCAATTTGAATTGTATTTTGTAATTTAAAATTAATGCAACCCATAACAACCATATTATAACATTAGTTATAAAACTTAACGCATACACCCAAAAAATCTAGCTTGAGCTTACATAAACAACAAACCTCACAAAACATAATTGGGTTCGAAACAAGATTTTTGTGTCATAACTCAAAGTACACTCTAGACGTGACATGACGTATAAGACACCAAAAAGTCCTACACAAATCACTTGACATGTGTGAAAAAAATTTCACCAACCATGATTCCTTAATATATGAGAAAATCCAACTCTCAGAAGTTCATTAATGCTTATTGTAAAAGCAACCTTAGATTATAAACATTCTTTAAACCGTAAATCATGCATGTCTTTCATAAATCATATTCATAAGTTCATAACCTTTTTCATAAACTTATATCTTCATAAATTCATAGTCAAAATCATGAATAATGCAAGAATCTTATAGAAATTAATTGAAAATTATGTAGTTTAATCAAAATATGCATAGGAAGATTGAAATTGAACAATTAAATAAAAATCAATTAAGACTCATGAAGATTACATGAAACTCTAAGCAATTTAGGTGAAATTGAATTTGAAGAATTGAGATCTTTTAAGACTCAATGAGTGAATAAAATCCATTGATGAATTCCCACATACTTTGATGATCAATACCCAAAAGCAATGGAGGAAAAGGGAGACTAGAAGTTTGATTAAATGCATATTTGCTTGTTTAAACATGTATTACACAAGCTCATAATTCACTTGCATATACTCCATCATTAGGTCATCTTTTATTGTTGTTGCAGGTAACTTATCTTATTTTCATAATTACAAATATTACGCTATAAGGAGGCTGTCGCTTTCCTTTAACTTACTAGTGATGAAACAATTTCAAGAGGTGTGAACACAACAAGACCATGTTGATCATAGAATATGTGTATAAATCGTTGTACTATGTGCTATATCCATTATATGTAGCTAGAAGTGTAAAAAGATGTCATTATCATAAAACAATGGGATAATAAAATTTGTGGTCCCTTAATTATTGATAAATTTTATTTTTGATCTTTATGTTATGTAAAGCAAGTACATTAAATTAAAATTAATTACGAAAAACGTTAAAAATGCATTCAAACTATGCGAAATTGAATAAAAATATCCTTAGATTAATAGCTAAAATGCACATATCGTCAATAATTTAGCCATAAAAGA